GGACCACACGACTTCGCCAAAGTCGCCGCACCAGCCCCGAGCGTTTGGACCTGAACATACGATATCCTTGGGCGCCGGGGGTGGGAGGGAGGCGGTCTCCGGTTACCGGGGGTCCGATCCCTCAGCAGGGCGCCGGCTGCAGCCCCACATGAAGCTCCGCCGCCGGGCGCCGTGCAGACTGCGCACAGCTTGTCGTCGAGGGGGCGCCGCGGGGCTGCAACATGAGGGAGTTCGCCGAGGAGGGGCGGCCGGGCACGCGCGCTCGCCGAGTCACAGTGCGCGCCGGGCCCGCGGCTACATGGACCCCGGCGGCCGGGCTGCTCAGCACCTCCAGCCCTCGAGCGTTAGGGGGGCTGCGGGCGCCGCGCCGCCAGGGAGACCCCGCATGGGCCGGCAAGCCTTCCAAAGTTGCGCGGCTGGTCCGGGAGCACAAAGCGCTCGCGCCGAAGGTTTGGGGGAAGCCCTGCCTCCAACACCCAAGCGCTGAACTACACGGGCTGGTCCTGCAGGATCCGAGGGGCAGGCTCGCGGAGACCCCCCCAGCTCCCTTCTCGCCCCCTGCGAGAGGGAGGAGGAAAAAGAAAGCCCAACTGCCCGGATTTGCATGCACGGAAGACCCACTCCGGCTCGGGTCTCGGGCGCTGGATGCACTTGGAGCGAGTTTCTCCGGAACGCGGTGTCAACACTTGAGTGGAGCTGTAGAAATCCCGAAGGGCTGCTGGGAATCCTTCATTTAAAATGCAATCCGTGGAGGCAGAGGTTGCAGCCCGCGGCTGCTGAGGTCGCCCCTACCCCCCTCCACCAAACGTGCCTCCCGGCGGCCCCGCGGTCCCGGCGAGGTCTGGCGAGGCAGCGCCCGGCGGCTCGCTCGCTCTCGGATCGGCTCCCTCGCTCGCTCCCCCGCTCGGCTCGCTCGCTCGCTTTTTTGTTCTCCTCAAACGCACACGGAGGGCCCCCGGAGGAGCGCCGCGGAGTCATTGGCTGCCTCCCATCATATGCCAGTCTAGACACTTTGGCGGCTCCGCGGCGCTGATTGTTGCGCAAACAAGGTTTCAAGTTTCTTAACTCTTAAAGGAGAACACGTCCCATTGCTGGGCCCGAGGCTCGGAGGGGCCGGCTCCTGGGGCGGGGCGGCCGAGCCCGGGCCCCCGCTCCCCCCCCACCCAGCACCACCGCCCCGGGCCTGACAGCGCCTGCAGCCCGCTCTCCGGCTCGTGTTGCGCCCCGGGCACGGATGCTGGCGCACACACGAGTGCGCGTGCACACACACACGAGTTACGGACGGGCGCGCGGGGACCCGGCAGATACACTGATCCTTGGATGCAAAAAGAGCGCTTTGCCTCCCTGTGGCTTGTGCACAGACTTAAAAGAACACACACCAGTTTATTAGAGTGGATCCAAACCCCTCTTCCACGGAAGGCTAATAAAAGTGGGTGTGCGTGTGTGCTTTCCTGGCTCGGGCCGCCTGGGAGCAGGGGGCGGCCGAGCTGCCAGGGCAGCGGGATCTTCCGTGACGGCACGAGGACTCCACACCCCCAGCGCAAAGTCGGGGGCCGCTCCACCGGGCCAAACACGGCCCGCGGGACGCCTTGCGCCTGGGGGTTCCGGGCTTACTCGGGGAGAGTTGGAGAGGGCGGGGCGGCTCGGTCGCCAGGGCGCTAGGGACCAGGTGCTCCCTCCACCCCCTTCCCCAGCGTCTCTGCTGTGTAGAAAGGGAGGTGTGTAAAGGCCATGCTTCTTCCGGCGATCTTCCCTCCAACACTGGGCGGTGGGTTGGAGGGTAGGATACCGCACGGCCAGGCTGCAGGGAGGGTGGGGGGCGCGGCGGCAGCAAGGGGCCGCCCGGCGCGGGAAGGGTTAAGGCCGCTCCGGCCCCTGGAGCCGGCGCGGCGGGATACCTCCTCGGGCGCGCTAGCTCGTTCGAGGGTGGCAAAAGTTCAAGCTTGTAAAGTCGGGATTGGCCTCGCGCGGAGGGAAAAAAGGCCTGGTCCCCCCTCCCCCCTCGGGCGCGGCGCCGATTGGCCGGCCCGCGGGGCGGGCACCGCCCTCTCCCCGGCGCTTGGTGGCCCCGCCCCCGATGTGGCGCCCCGCCCCTTTCCGGGCAGGAGCCCGACCCCTTGCTGAATGAAAGACATTCCGCTACTCTCATTGGCCAGGGGCTGGGCGCCATTCCCCTACGGGGGCCCGGAGCACCGGCGCGCGGGTGTCCCTCGGGGGTTCCCCAGTGTGGAGTAGGCTTTTGGGAGTCCCCGGCCCGGCGTCGGTGTGTGCGCTGGGGGGAAGGTGGTATGTGCTGGAGGGGCTCCGAACCATTTGCAGAGCTTTACCTGGAGCCAGGTACGGTTCGCTCCCCGCGCTCTCGGAGCGGCGGTTACTCTCGCCGACGGAGGGCCTGCCCGAGCCGCTTCCCCACCCCCACCCCCTACCACTTGGCCAAATAAAAATAGCTTTCTTGGCCTCAGTTTCTTGTCTTTAAAAGTGGAGATAAGAGCCTGCCCTGCGTGCTTCACAGAACCATGGAGCGCCTGGGAGATACTGCATTTTAAGTGCACAAATCTCAAGTGATCAACGTTCACAAAGTATACACACCAGCGGACACGCAGATGAGAAAACTGCATGACCCACCCTCTCGAAGCCACTTTTGTGGCCACTTTTAATCATTTCTCTCTCCAGGGATATTAATGCATTTTAAAATACAAAAAAACCCTATGTATTTCTCAGACTGTATGCTGCTTGGGGCTGTGGATTAGTTCCCGCAGCCCCGCAGCTCTATGCTTGCCTCACAGTAACTCTGTGTAGGATGAGATCAGACTTGGTGGTTTCGAGGGCTTTCATTGGCTCTTCTTGGGAAGGAGAACGCCCGGCCTTTCTTCCTAGTGTGCCTTATTATAGAAACTCAAAATCTGTTCAGCAACAAGAGGCAGTGAGAATTGCTCGGTGCTTATTAAATCATTGCTATAAGCAAGGCAATGTTCCAAGCATTACAGGGACTTAGTCATTTAATTCTGACAACAACCCTGATGGGTGCTACTATTATCTTGATTTTACAGCTGAAGAAGCAGACCGAGTGACTTGCTTGTTTAATTGGCTATTTAAGTGTGGATACTATCTCCAGCACTAAAAAAAATATCTGAAAGATCTAAGAGGCTGTTTAACAGGACCCCTGGTGGCAGTTGGCTCTAACCAAAAGGCTGGCAGTTCAAACCCACCCAGCACCTCTGCCAGAGGAAGATTGGACAATCGGCTCCCCAAAAGAGTACCGCCCTCCCTATGGGGTAATCCTACCCCTCACATAGATTCTCTGAGCTGAAACCCACTGCGCCACACTTAACAAAGTGTGCATCCCATCCAGCTTGGAAATGGTGGTAGGTCTGTGTATCCCATGCACACCCTTCAAGGCAAGGAGTTTCAAAATGTGATCCTAGGGGTGCCTACACCAAACCTTCGGCATCCAGGAGTTGTGGGTATGACCCAAGACTTCACATAACAACATTCTGGGGGGTAGGTATGGTTGTTGCCACTATTTTCGCAGACAAGGGTACTGAGGCACAAAGGCCTTGAGTGATTTGCTCAAGTTTGTAGTTGTGGCAAAGTCAGGATTTGAACCTTATCCCGTTGGGGGTGGGGGTGGGGGTGTTAATGGTATATAAGGGAAAGCAAAGGAAATGGAAGAGGAGAGGAGTTAATGCCTGGCCTTCCATAGTGCAGGGGTGAAGGTGTTTCCAGGACTGGTCAGCATGAATCTCCCAGGACAGGAGTATGCACAGTGGCTCCCACTGGGGGGGAGGGGGGGGGCGGGCTCCCAGGCCTCTACAGAGTTCCTGGGGGAATGCCCTGAGGGGTGTTGGGCATGTTAGGCTTCTGCTCCAAGGACCTCAGGCCAAGGAAAGAATTGAGCAGTGACCTTCCTGGGAAGCCCTGACTTCTTACCTGACAGTTGGGCAAAGTTTGAGTGCCACTGGGGGGCAGAGATGGGGAGTGTAGGGGATGATGCTATGAAGCGCCAGCTGGGTGCATCCTAAAGAGCGCTGAAGTGATGCTGCTTCATTGAGTTCAGTGTTGACCCTTCTCTCCTCCCCTAGCTCTTTAAGCCTGGGCTTCTCATCTGTATAATGGGACTAGGGATGGTGGTGAGTGGTTGCCAAGATTAAGTGGCACAAGGGCCTGGCGTTAGCCCTCGTTACAGGGAGACCATGTCTGAGTAGAGACTGCGTCGAGAAGGACAGGGCTGTGACGGTCCCCTGTCATTGGGTTCCCAAAGCCTGTCCAGCCCAGCCCCAGTGTGAGCTATAGCCACTAGAGCGTGCGATGAGCGATGAGCGGCGGGCCCCGCAGGGCAGAGTGAAGGCGCTGCAACCAGAAGACAAACTCTGGTACCCAGGGACCAGCTCCAGTTACGGCACTGGAGGAAGGCAGGGACCCCTGAGTGACAGGCCACCAACCATTCTGACTTGCTCACTCTCAGTCTCAGCCGCCCAATTACTCCTGTCTTTCGGTCTCTTTCTCTCTCTCTGTCTTTCTCACTCACACACACACACACACACACACACTCCTGCTCTATCCCCTCAGGCTCAAACCCACCCACTGTCTGTTTTTCCAGTGTTCCTCCTGCACCTCCACCTTTAGAGCACTGATCACAATTTAGAACCACCGGCTGTCTGATCTGCCTTTGGCCCTGGGATGTTGGCTCTGTGAGGGCCAAGATGGTGAGACCAGCGGCAGAGGCAACTCCAAGGGATGCCATTATTCTTATAGACCCTCTCCACCCTCACCCTTTTTTGTACTTTTTTTTTTAAGAAGAGGAAGCCAAGGAGTAATTTGCCTCTGGTCACACGACCAATAATGGCAGAGTTGAGGCTTGAACCCAGGGCTGTTGAAGTTGTTTATCTTCTTAGCACCTTGTCCTATTAAAAACAAACAAAATCTCTGGCCCTTGACTCTTGGGAAGAGCACTAGCGGAGGAGCAGGGCACCAAACAGCAGAAATCCTTCCAGGCACAGTGTACTTGTGGGTGGTGACAAGGGGCTAACTGCGCATGAGCAGAGGCATCCCAGAGGGAGGCTGCGCCGGCTCTCCGTGGCCAAGTGGGCTGCGAGGGAAGCCAACTGCTCCTAACCGTTCACAGGAGACTGGGATCAACAAGGTCCCCACTTATTAACGGAGGGAAAACACCCAAGGAACTGCATGTGTGTGTGCGCGTGCACGCCGGTGTGCCTGTCTCATTGGAAGGCAAATCTGCTTGGCCAGTGTGGCCCCAAATGAGGGAGTTGGGGCAGGGGTAGACAGCCCTTCCGAGGCTCTGATGGGCACAACCTTGAAATGCTCCTTTTAAAACTGTGTGCATACCAGGAATACTAACTGAGCGCCTGCTGGGTGCCAGGCCCTGTTCTTGGTGCTAGAAGTCCTGCAGTAAGCAAACACAACTTTATGAGCTCACGGAGTCCAGACGGAGGAGAGAAGAAAAGGACCATAAACAATCAAGGTATAGCACGCACGGGAAAGGGTGCCAAGATCAGACATGAAGCAGAGGCGAGGGGTGAAGGGTGCCAAGAGAGGGCAGGCTGTGATCAAGAACTCTTCCCCAGGAGCTGATAGTTTGATCAAGGGCTTGAAGGTGATGTGGGAACTAACTACAAGGCTAGGGGGAAGAGCGGTCCAGGCACAGGAAAAAGCAAGTACAAGGGCCCTGAGTGGAAGAATGCTTGGTATTTTCCAGGGGCATCAAAGATGCCAGTTGGCTGGAGCCGAGTGAGTGAATAGGAGTGGGTGAGGCGGGTGGTATGGGGTCGCTCAGCCCTTGTGCGGTCCTTGTCTAGGGAGCAGGCTGCAGGGGAGAGCGCCCCGGGAGGGTTCTGAGCAGGGAGGGAGATGACCTGCCTTCGGTTTGAACTGGCTCCCTCCAGCGGCCACGCAGAGAATAGCCCGCAGGGGCGGGGCCGAGCAGGAAGCCACCAGCCGACTTGTGGCTCAGACCAGGG